GTTTTTAATGTAATCATTCTTTTAAGTATGTGGTTGATAGGCTTTTTGGTGGCTTCCAGGCCGTTGCTGTTTCTAAGGTGTTCTTAGTGGTTTTTATCATGTTGCTATGCGGTTGCTAGGGCGTTTTAGGTAGTTGCCAGGGTGTTGTTAAGGTTTTTAATGTGTTCCTATTGAATGTGATTGCCAGGGAGTTAATGTTGCTAAGGTGTTCTTATTTGTTGTAATCACACTTCTACATATGTGGTTGCTAGGTTTTTTAGGTGGTTTCCAGGATGTTGCTGTTTCTAAGGTGTTCTGAGTGTTTTTCAACATGTTGTTCTGCAGTTGCTAGGCTATTTTGAGTGATTGTCAGGGCGTATCTAAGTTTCTAGTTTTCTGAGTGTTTTTAGCATGTTGCCAGGGTGTTGTTAAGGTTTTTAGTGTGTTGTTACCATATGTGATTGCCAGGGACTGTCTGTTGCTAAGGTGTTCTAATTTGTTGTAATCACATTTCTACATATGTGACATTTCTACATACAGTTTGGCCAGGACTCCCTGGAAGAAGAGATTTGCATCTCAATGGGACTATCCTGGTAAAATAAAGGATAAAAAAATATATATATATAATAGGCCTATATTGCTTAAGGATAATAATAATTTACCATCCTACATATAGGGTCAGGTTTCAGGTAAACTAGGGCCCGTCATGAGATGTGGCCCAATTTACCTAAAATGACCCTGCATTTAAGCGATACATGTAATTTAATGGAAAACACTGTTATAATTCACCTCAATTGGTGCTCCGTAAAAGTTTCTTATTTTTATCAATGTTGAAAAGAGTTGTGCTGCTTAAGTTTTTCAAGGTTTCCTTGATGAATAGAAAGTTCAAAATAATTCATTCTTAGAACATTCTTTTTTCTTATAAATGTCTTTACTGTCATATTTGATCAATTTAATGCACACTTTCTGCATAAAAGTATTTAATTATTTAAAAAAAAAAAAACATGGTAACTTAACCAGTTAAAAGGCTTATACTGTTGCATTTTTACTTTTTCCATTAAATAAAACTGTTTACATGTTTGTTAGTTTGAGTAATTTCGTTTTGTTGTTGTGCTTCCATAAAATGCCCACTGGCTGTATCCATTACTATGCTGGTGTTTCTTAAGAAAAAGACAAATAGGATGGAGAGAAGATGATGTACATACAAAGTGTTTATGTGACCTTTCTTCAGTGTAGTAAGGCTGTGTGTAGAAAACAGGGTTTGAGGGCTTTGGACTCGAATGTAGCCACTCCATCCACACACACACTCACTTTTTTCATCAGTCAGTGAGCTTGAACTCATGCAACATTAATGCCTTGATTTATTCCCCTCACTTAGAGAGAGAGGGAGAAATGTCAACCATTGTCAGCATCTATTCATCCGTCTGTCTCCACCTCCTCCTCCCGCTCTCTTCTCTAATGCACAGAGGTCAGCAGTGTGTCCCATCAGGGTATCCTTACAGAGTTTTGCTGTCAGCTTGATGTATTTGCAATTTTACATTCATCAAGCAGATTGTCAAATAAGTCCAGAAATGCTGACACCACTTAAACATTCAAAAATAACTTAAAATAATGTTTAGTAATAAGTTGAGCAGGTGAGTTTTAAAAAAATAATACCATGAGAGTGGATTTCTCACATTTCTTATGTTTTGGGGTCATGTCTTTTCAAGATACATATGTGACCCTGGACCACAAAATCAAGGGTACATTTTTTTAAATTGGGATTTATATATCATCTGAATAAATAAGATATTTGGCTGAGATACAGCTATTTGAAAATCTGGAATCTGAGGGTGCAAAAAAAAAAAAAAAATAAAAATATTGAGAAATTCGCCTTTAAAGTTGTCCAAATGAAGTCTTTAGCAATGCATATTACTCATCAAAAATTAAGTTTTGAGATATTTATGGTAGAAAATGTACAAAATATCTTCTTGGAACATGATCTTTACTTAATATCCTTATGATTTTTGGCATAAAAGAAAAATCCATAATTTTGACTCATACAATGTATTGTTGGCAATTACTGCTATTGCTACAAATATACCCGTGCTACTTATAAGTGGTTTTTGCCAAACTTGTTGCAAATTCAATGTACATAGTAATTCATATCCTCTTATTTCTTTCATTCCAAACTCTGTGCCTCTAATTATTTTATTATTAATATTTAAGGTAATTATTATTTCAGATTAAAATTAATATTTATACAATATACAATGAAATGAAATAAATTATTTTATAAATGTAATTTAAATTATAAAATTGTATATATAAAATACAATTTATTTTATTCAGTTATTTTATATCTATAGACAGACATACACATCAAATATTATATAATAAATATATATATTACTTCTACATTTATCTTAATTGTAAGGATAAAAGAAACTCAGGAAACTCAGATACTTTGATCTCCTGAGAAACAGACAATACACTGGCACCTTCAAGACACCCCACAGAGGGGTGGTGCAGGAAACGCCTCTCTCACATATGCATCAGTGCCCTTTCATCTGCTCCCTCCACTGGATTCACTCAGAATGGTCAATAGTAGAATGTTCTATATGAATGCAAATAAGATTTACAGTCATGTTTGGTTTCATTTGAATAGTATCAGGGCGAGTGGTACAATGGTCTTAATCTTACAAAAGTAAACTAAAAGATAATACAGATCCTAAGAGTTAAGAGATACTTTGATTACCGTAGAGAGTCATTCCATGCAAATTACCTTCTGTTTCCCATTGAGGTGTAAACTAGCCACCCAGATACCAATTGTTTGTACATGCCTCCACTTGGGGGATGTTTTATCTTGGTTTTGTATTTAAAGGATTGCAACAAAAGGGTCAGGGCGATTCTGTAGTCAGAGAGCCCGTAGTATGGAATGTGTCCACACACTCAATACTATGTATTTTCCTAAAGTCAGGTATGAATCCTTTACTCTTAGATTTGTCTATGAGAATTTGATGTATCGTATTGATTTGATATCTTTGAATTGGCTACGTAGATAATTGGCATAATACATATTTACCTGACTGATAATAAATTGTTACATTTGACTTATTCTGACGTACTCTGAAATTATTTAAGTGAAGGCGTATGTTTCCGCAAATCTGCGACCAGGGTTACGTGCATACTAGATCTCAGGTTTAGATGAAGCATGGGGCACATCAGGTGAGATTATAGATTTCTGACTAACTGCTTGACCTAGTTAAGTTGTACTCAGTTGCGTTAACTATGGGGGCTAGTCAAAGGGTTCTAGCAGAAACGCTGGTTA